CATATGGGTTCTAACTTTAACTTCTCATGGGGCTGAACTGCTGGTGTCTACACAGGCAGTGGCTGCCAAATTTCATTTAGAGTCGAGTTCAACAGGCTAAAGAAAAGCAAATGAAATAGATTTTTTTTTCAAATACAGATTTGACAGCAAAGTTTTTCACACAAGATATAGTGCACCCCACTTCAGATGTAAAGTGCTGCATTAGACTTCAGCACAAACTGCACTGTGCTGCTCACCCCTTTGAAGTTATGGTTCTGAAGAAGTGAAAAAAAGCACCACATGAATTTTAAACCTAGAGTATGTACTTTGGGATCTTCTTTGGAAAAAAAACCCCACCACTCCACAGCAGTCTAAATACATATGGGAGAACACACACAGACACATATCAAGGTGCATCGTATGATTATATCCCATCTTTTTAAAAGCACTTTAAGAATCTGCTTTTTCTAAACAGAACAATGAAAGATGGACAGAAGAATTACAACGAGAGAGCTAAGAACACAGGGCTAGCAGCAGACAGACATCAATCAGCCTGAGAGGCAAATACAACCCAGTGAAAAGGGAAGACTCATACAATCATGCACTGAAAGGATAAGGATTTATATTACAATAAAGGATTTATATTTAAGATTTCAAAAAAGGGTTTTTTTTTCCCCTGAAGTTTCGTTTTCTTGATATTGTGTTTCAAGAGAAAAGGAGACAACCTGTATAGAATTGGATTATCGCTGTTTTCTTATCATCTGTTTCTTTACCAAGAGATTGCTCTCATCTTTTCACAAAGCTGTATCACCCCTGGACCCAGGGATTGGGACGTTAAGTGTTTTGGCTTCTTTTAGGGATATAAAAATTCTTTCTCATCTTGAAATTAACCCCAGTGTGGAGAAACTATAGAAATTCTCAGCACAGCTGTGGTCCAAAGCATGGGCATAAGGAAGGCTCTCTGATGGTCCCAGGCTGTATGTATCTTTCAAATCTAATATTCTAGATGAAGATTCAATAAAAGGGTGTTGCAGCTGGCTTACATTTGTTTCCACATGCAGAACTTAAGGGTTATGCCTTCCTTTTGTTTTTTTTCTTTAAAGCACAAAATCCAGATGCTTTGTGTAAACTGAAAACCAAAACAAGATGAGCCTTTTTGCAACACCAACTTACGTAGAAAGAATCTACAAGCTGCCACATCTGCGTCCTGATAAAAGATCTATCTCACACTTTTCAGGTTCTTGTACCACGAAGAAACTAATCAGTCTTTCTTCTTAGTCCATGGTAATTACCCCCAGACCTGTCTGATCTGTCTCAGCTCAGGTCTGGACACAGACTTCAGCTTTTGGTAGGTGCAAAAGCTGGAACTGTGGAAGACCTGAGCTTTGATAACCTTTGTCAGAGACAAATCAGTATTTTCTTGAGATTTATCTGTCAATGCACTGAAGTTCCCAGCAAGTTGAACTGCCACAGTTCTTCCAATTTACTTTAAACACCCTTCAATCAACAGCTTTTAAAGCAAAGGCCCTCTTAGCACTGAGGAGGATTTTACAACAGGAGCATGATTTCTGCTCAGAAGTGCTAAAATTGGGCAAAAACATCTTCCTTAGTTTTATGAGGATGTACCAGCACCTTTTTTTCACAAAGCTTTTGAGTGCCGAAAGAGGATTTTGAAAACAAAACACCACCTGCTCTCGTCAATTCCAGGACTTTGCTAATGGTGGCCACAGAGGCCACCAGAGGGAGCAGGTTCGAACCTGGCACCTACACCAACTAACTGCACTCAGAGCGCAGTTCAGCTGGCACCAAAGGAGAGACACCTCCAAACCTGACCACAGCTGACCTGACCTTCTCTCTGGAATCAGCTCTCTTCCAACCAACGATGAAGAGCTGAGAGCAACCACCCTTTTGCCTGAGGTGTCCCAAATGAAGTGTCAGCCACAGACTGGGATCCATAAATCCAGATGTTGAGGCATTTCAACATCACTAGTCCACATATCCACATATCTTGTTGGTAATGTTAACCACTGTCACAAGCAGGACTGATGGAGCAGCAAAGGCAGATTAAAGGCATCTGAGTTTTTCCTTTTTCTGGGCACCAACATGTATAATTGATTAAAGTAATTCACTCTGCGTGCTCCTGCTTCCCAAGTTTGTTCAGTTCTTGAAGCCGAAGAAAGCAACTATCTGATGTCTGTCATAGATAGCTTCTGTACCCCACCTCTCCTCCCCATCCAGTCTCCTGCAAGATTCCCTCTTAAGCAATCCAATTCAGGCTGGTTTTATTCTACCAACATACCAGGTTAACCACAGATCATAGAATAATTTCTGTTGGAAAAGACCTTCAAGATCAAGTCCAACCGTTAACCCAGCACTGCCAAGTCCACCATTAAACCATGTCCCTTCGCACCACATCTACATGGCTTTTAAATACCTCCAGGGACAGTGACTCAACCATGTCCCTGAGCAGCCAACCTGGCACCTACACCAACTAACTGCACTCAGAGCGCAGTTCAGCTGGCACCAAAGGAGAGACACCTCCAAACCTGACCACAGCTGACCTGACCTTCTCTCTGGAATCAGCTCTCTTCCAACCAACGATGAAGAGCTGAGAGCAACCACCCTTTTGCCTGAGGTGTCCCAAATGAAGTGTCAGCCACAGACTGGGATCCATAAATCCAGATGTTGAGGCATTTCGACATCACTAGTCCACATATCCACATATCTTGTTGGTAATGTTAACCACTGTCACAAGCAGGACTGATGGAGCAGCAAAGGCAGATTAAAGGCATCTGAGTTTTTCCTTTTTCTGGGCACCAACATGTATAATTGATTAAAGTAATTCACTCTGCGTGCTCCTGCTTCCCAAGTTTGTTCAGTTCTTGAAGCCGAAGAAAGCAACTATCTGATGTCTGTCATAGATAGCTTCTGTACCCCACCTCTCCTCCCCATCCAGTCTCCTGCAAGATTCCCTCTTAAGCAATCCAATTCAGGCTGGTTTTATTCTACCAACATACCAGGTTAACCACAGATCATAGAATAATTTCTGTTGGAAAAGACCTTCAAGATCAAGTCCAACCGTTAACCCAGCACTGCCAAGTCCACCATTAAACCATGTCCCTTCGCACCACATCTACATGGCTTTTAAATACCTCCAGGGACAGTGACTCAACCATGTCCCTGAGCAGCCTGTTCCAGTGCCTGACAACCCTTTCAGTGAAGAAATTGTTCCTAATATCCAATCTAAACATTCCCTGGCACAACTCGAGGCTGTGCTTTATCCAATATTAGCTGTCATCTGCAACCGAGGCCCATTGTGCCAGGCACTGTACAAACACACAGTCAGAGAGACTCTTCCCCAAAGATTTTTCAAGCTAAACAGAGAAGACAGCTGGATAAATCTCATGAAGGCTCTCTTTAAAGAGTCTGTCAGTAACACCCTTTATAAAACCGCTTGTAAGACAGGGAAATCCCTCTGTAAAAGTTATATTCCACCTCTTTTGCTACGCTCCTTGACAGAAAGCATCTGTATTTTGGCTCTCTATCATAATTACTGCCATTATACTGTCTGTATATCACCTTAAATAATTTGCCTCCAAGAACAGTATGATATCACACAGATATATAGTAAAAAGAGGCCCTCGCACACATATAATGATGAGTGTGAGTCAAAGACTTGGCTTGCAGCCTGTGAGCATCACCTCCCCACCAGTGCCAGTTGCAGGGTGGTTTATTTAGGCATCATTCCACAGATAGTACAAGAAGTGTTGATGCTCAAAGGTGTACGAGCAGGAAGACTGCAGTGGTGATCTGCTGTGGGCTGGAAAGGGAGTGGTCTTCTCTCCCACAGCCACCTCAGCACACTCATTTCCATCAGTGACGTACAAGGCAAGTAGTAACTACAGAAACTGTGCTCAAAAGAATGCAGAGCAATGCAATAATTCTGCTTCTTAAAACGATTACCAGAGCAGTGAAAAGATAACACTACGTTGCATTAGCAACCTTTATTAGGGTCCTCTTGCAACGGAATTGCTTCCCTCCCTGATAAAGGAAACGAACAGGATGTCACTTGGAAGAGACCTTTCAAACCAGAGCTTCCTGCATCTATTATCCCAGCCGTCCCCTGAAATGTTATTCAGCAGCTGGCCAAGAAAGCAGCAGGGCAGCTCACAGCCAGCGCGTGCTCCCAGCCCCCACTGGGCCCGTGCCAGAACAAGACTATAGCTGCTTGTCCTCCCAACTGCTTCCCTGGTCCCATTCCTTAGTAACTGCACGTGCTCCGGCAGCGGAGATTCGAACGGCAGCGCTGCACGGCTGGCAGCTGCTGCTTGGCCACACTGCAGCAGTGGGTGACAGCTCCTTCCCCAGCCTTCCCACCAGAGATTAGACTGCACAGGGGACAGATGCTGCCATGGGACTAGTGCTCTGCCATCCACCCCACGGCCTCCAGGTACTGTGCTGTGTGCTCAGCAACCCAGTGTGAGCACTCTCCTTTGCAGCAATAACATCGCTGATCCGCAGCCACCGTTTGTTGTTACACCTGAGGAACACAGCAACAATGCACCATAACCCGTGACCCTATTTGTCTGCTCAAGATCTTCCCTGCTTTTTCTATGGCTTTGGGGATAACAAGCAGCACCTTGGTGAAATGACAGGGAAATGACCCTGTAATGCAGGGAAACTCCCATCTCCCAAGACTCCAGCCCCACTGGATTTCCAGAGGCTGGCAGCTCAGTTTCTGTCATCAGGGCACCCATTGATGGACTGACCGTTATTGAGAGGGTGCTTCAAATTTCAGTCTCACCCCCTCTTGATTTCAATACCACGTGCAACAGTCTGCAAAAACCTGACGCCACTGCATAGTGATGCTGCTGTTAAGCAACTCTGAGGCTTTTAAGGCAGAGTGGCTGCACCTCAAGAAAAAGAAAACCAGAACTTAACTAGCATATAAATACTTTTGCAGTCCTTCTCTGAACCAAATATATTATTGCTAAGGCCTTGGACAACTGAATAGATGCAACAGTTCAAGTTATTGTGTCTGTCTCTACCAGTAACTCCATCAAGAACTCAAAAAACTCCCAGAAATACCCAGGATGAGCACAAGTCTCTATCTGGCATAAGAACAGTAACTTAGTGGCCTTATTAGCTTAGCTGCTACCATGAACCTTGAGGTTTTATGAAGATGAAATAGAGGGGGAAATAGTAAGATTCTGATGCATTTGTTTTTTAATACAGGCCATTCAAAACTGAAGATAGCTGGGTCCTGTGTGCAATCACCTGACTGTATATGGCACGCCAGGATTATTGAAAACTGCTTTCTGTGCCATAAATAAATAAACACACACATTGGAAGCTGATAAAAATTTTAATGCATTTTACCTGTTTGTAGTAGAGAAATGTCCGGCTTCTCATCACAGTCAGTTGCCTCTGCTGATTACAAATATAAACAAGAAATCTCATTACTTTTACTGAATGTGGGAATGAGATTAAAAAGCTACATACTGTAGAGTGATTTTGCATTTTCTATCTACTTTCCCTAACTGCAATTTGCTGTTGCTGAGTTAAAAACTCACTGCTTGGAGGGAAAGGTCATGTAATAAAAATGCAAACTTAGAAGAGGGAGTTGGATATTAAGCAGCAGTTGTGCCAATAGGATGGAGTTAACACTTTCTCTTTTTAAGGTTTTGGGATATCCAGATGATAAAAGCAGTTGCAATGAGTGGTCCTTGGAGGAGGAGCCTGTCAGGCTGGTGCTCCACCCTCCGACAGCTGCCATCATCTGATACCTAGAGAAAGGGTGAATATCCCCTTTTCTACACCCAAACTTCCTGTGCCAACAGGCAAGCTCATTTTGCAGGGGACAGATTTACCAGGGCAAAATGTCTTCAAAGATGTAGGTGGGCACTTGGCATGATTAAAGAAGCCCTTTCTGTGCCATAAATAAATAAACACACACATTGGAAGCTGATAAAAATTTTAATGCATTTTACCTGTTTGTAGTAGAGAAATGTCCGGCTTCTCATCACAGTCAGTTGCCTCTGCTGATTACAAATATAAACAAGAAATCTCATTACTTTTACTGAATGTGGGAATGAGATTAAAAAGCTACATACTGTAGAGTGATTTTGCATTTTCTATCTACTTTCCTTAACTGCAATTTGCTGTTGCTGAGTTAAAAACTCACTGCTTGGAGGGAAAGGTCATGTAATAAAAATGCAAACTTAGAAGAGGGAGTTGGATATTAAGCAGCAGTTGTGCCAATAGGATGGAGTTAACACTTTCTCTTTTTAAGGTTTTGGGATATCCAGATGATAAAAGCAGTTGCAATGAGTGGTCCTTGGAGGAGGAGCCTGTCAGGCTGGTGCTCCACCCTCCGACAGCTGCCATCATCTGATACCTAGAGAAAGGGTGAATATCCCCTTTTCTACACCCAAACTTCCTGTGCCAACAGGCAAGCTCATTTTGCAGGGGACAGATTTACCAGGGCAAAATGTCTTCAAAGATGCAGGTGGGCACTTGGCATGATTAAAGAAGCCCGTTACCACTCAGGCACAAAGGTGATTACAGTGTATGTACACACATGTGCTTTCAACCCACAGATTATGCAAGATCATTTGAATTAATTTAGCCCAAGGTGAAGGAAGGCCAAAAGCCTCATTTGTTCACCTGGTATTTGCCACAGGCCAAGGGTATGCATAAAGATGGCTAATTTGGCTCAGCAGATGTGCAGTGATTGGCTCAGCAGATGTTAAGACTGCAGCACCCTGGAGTGTGGATGTGAACCCCAAATAAGTTATAGGTGTGTAACAAGAAATCAGTGCCTACCCTACTCGAGCACTGTCCAAAATTCTATTACCTTTGTCTTCTGGCACTTCAGTGTGATATTTAAGACCTTTAAAACACAATGAGATCTTTGAGAGCACTTCAACAAACTAGGTGTGGTCACAAAGGAGCAGTGCATTACATTGTACACGGTCAGTGTGGTGGATATACATCTACTCACATCCACTCATTGCCTGATATCCATAGGGATCAAATCTGACCAAGGCTACAGATGCACTGAGGAACTGAATCACCTCCCACCTGAATCTAAGCTAACTGTCCTGGTCATCTTTATCATGGCTCTACACACCAGTATGTTGCCTTTATGATGACATTGTAAGAAGAACTAATCCAGCTCCTGATCTACATTAGTTTCCTAATGTAGATCCATCAACCCTTGGCTATCCACCCCTGGACCAAGAGGTTGCTCTCTCTCTCCCATGTGCATGGATGTCAGATTAGTTTTAGTTATATGCTCTCTACTCAGTTATGCAAAATTAACTGAACCAAAGAAAACAAACCAATTGAAACCCCTACTACTGAGCAGCTTTTCTCCCACAGAAGGTTTAAAGGGAGAGCCCTGACAAGTACACAGCATGGACCTGCAAGTGACTCTGCAAATCTACACCTTTCTCTGCTTCCTGTGAGGAAGTGGCACACTGAGCAGAAACAACGTCAATGCTTGGTACAGCTTACTCCAAAATTCTTAAATTTTGGAAGGAACGGGTGGCTCAATAAATGGGAAGAGGTTATCTAGGCTGGCCTGAATCTGGCCTGGACTCCCAGCAGTGGAAGAACTGGGTATGCAAGGGAGGAGACAGCATGATGAAACAGCCAACAGGACATATATGGCTTAAAACACCAGAAGTGACAGTCTAAGGACAACTTCTAGTTATGTTATTAAGAACTACCTGCACCAAGTGATTCTGTGGCATGGTTGATGAAGCTGTAACTGGCCCCTTGGGCTGAAAGGACACAAGCTATGAAAATGGGGGAAGCCAGCTGTGAGTGCTGGCAATGGGATGGAAAGTCTTCCCTCTATCACACCAGGGTTGGTGCCAGCTAGGCTGTCTGCTCAAGTGATAGGTTTTCTGGAAATCTCAGCAGCAACTCTTGAAGAAGCTCTAGAGGTGTGGTGACCTTTCTGTCTACCTGCTCTTCTTACACCTGGCTAAAGCTGAACGCAGAGGAAGGCAGTAATACAGAAAGAGACAAATGGAAGCTCAGAAGTACCTTGCTTTCACAAGGGAAGGACTTGAGTCTCTGAATTTGCAGAACCAGCTACCTGACCATATTAATCAGGCACAAGACTGACAGATGAGGGTCAGCTCTCCACCAGATTTTCCAGTCCTGTTCTTCATGGCAGCACAAACATTTGTATGGTCACCAAGATCCAATCAAGTTAAAAACTGACAACATTGCTACACAAATGCTTGTGCCAGCACCAGACAGGGAGTGGGAGCATGGCAGATGCCCAGAGAGCATATTCTCTCTTTCCAATAACTGCCTGAATTTGTTCTGTGAAATTGGATGTGTAACCGTAGCTCCAGGTGAAGTCTGAGGCAAAGGGATGACAAACACCTTGACCTCCTAACGTGGATGTAAAACACCAGCTTCTCACGTGCGGGAAAGAAGGTTTCCAAGCAGGAAAGAAGGTTTGCCTTCAACAATCACACTCAGAGACTGCCAGCCAAACTCTTCTTGTCTTGAGCCAGTTTACAAGACAAGGCAAGGGATTTAGAGCCTCTCTTCTGTCATTTGTCTAGATAGAGGCTCAGTAGCTCTTGCAAAATAATCCTGGTAGTTGTTTCCTTTTAAGTCTTCCCTCTCCCCAACTCCAATATCGTCAAGCTGCTGATGTACATGTTTGTTCAGTTTACACCTGCTATTTTGCTCCTTGGGCAGAAGAATATGTATGTTTAGGGCTGGGGAGATAAATGCAGCAGTTACTGATTTTAATACTGCTGTCCTAATCTAAACTACTGGTCACAGGAGCACTGTACCACATGTTGGACTCACATCCTACATCCTTCCTGGTCCTGTGTGTCTTGCTAAGCAAAAAAGCTTCCCGATCTCTTGCAGCATAGATATTGTACCAAAAGCACAAACTGGGGAAATCAGAAGGATGAAGAGAAATAGAAAGTAACCCTTCCCCCCCCCAAAACAACGGAAGGAGCAGCTTTCACAAGGATGTGGGAGAAAAGGCCCATTTCCAGAAAAAAATAAAGGGATGCATTTTTTCTTCCTTCATTTCCACTATTTTACACTGCAATGAGGTAATGGTAATTTTAAACCACAACTGAAGGATAAAGCATCATGGCATGTAATTTATATAAATTAATCCAGCCTGAAAAATTTCAGCATGTTTTCTAACATTGCCTTTATGGAGTAGGGCCATCAAAAGCTTCCAGGTTAGGCACAAGGTAATCACTTTGCAGGAACATCTCTTCCCATGGGTACTTGGGGTGTGTTACTCACCCAATGTCAGCTTGCTTGTCTCTGTAATGCACAGCACAATACAGAATAATGGCTCACAGGCTCTTCAAAACATAAAAAGGGAGGAAGAACTTACAGCTGGAGATCTGTAGCTCCTGACCTGCTGCTTATTAACGGATGGAGAGTTGAGAAATCAAAAGGCTTGCATGCTATGTCTGGCACAGAGGTGACACGAACAGCGAGTCAGTTCCTTCTGATTTCACCCACATTTAGATCTCTGTGCTAATGGTTGACTGTCTCCCTCTGTGCTGCCCCTGGCAAAACCTACCTATATTCTCCTTTGCAGGGTGAAAAGACCATGCCGTGAGAAACCCACTGCTGCAAATTACAAGACAATTTGCATTGTAGTTCATGCTGTTTTAAGAGAGGAAACCTGTGCAAATGCCTTTTCCATTCACTTCCCTTCCAGGGCCACCTTCATCCCAGCAGCTGAAAGGTTCTGCTTCTCTGCTAGGAGAAGACAGATCTATGAAGCTGTGTCCCAGTGTTCTGTGGTGTTTGGAATGGAATGGAACCAGTAGACAAGGCTGAAGAATGTTATCATACACTTTAGTTTTAATTAAAACATCTGTTTGTAACATTAACCTCGCACTCCCGTCTCCCCTTTGTGACAGCCAACTTGTGAAATTTTGAAAAGACTGAACAAGGCCAATAAAAATTTAATGGCACTGACAGCTTTATTCTCAGATCTAACAAATAAAAAAAACCCTACCCAAGTCTCAGATCTCAGGCAATAATCTCAAAGAACTAAGAAAAAGTCAAAGCAAAAGAAATAAATTAAAAATATATATATTTCCAGCTATGAAAAATATTGTCACTGATTCAGAACTTAAATGAATTTTTATTTGGCTTAGGATAACAACCTTTCAAAATCTACACAGGGGAATTATTTTCTAGAAAGCAGAATTTTTAAGTGGTTTTTTGATTAGCTTTCCAAGTAGGGAGCTTTTCTTTCCCTAATTCTAGGAAATGAGCCAGACATGGTAAATCATGTTGAAGCTGGGCAGCTTCTATGATCCAGTGATCACAATTTCATTTAATTTGGAAACACTCAGGAGGGTATGTCCTATAGGAAGAGGCACAAAAGGCAGGTCCACCCCCCTGTTTTGCTAGAATTCTCTTAAGTTATTAATATCTCTGAAAGCTAGAGCAGGGTTTACATTATCAGACTGAAATAATGTTTCATAGGATAAAGCAGAGCATGCTGCTCATGAATGGTTTGAAACCAAAAAGTAGTCAAAGGATCTACTAAATGGCTCAGCAGAAGGCAAGTAGGATGGAAAGTCAGCCCCTCCTCTCTTAAATACTTTTGTTAAAATTTAGCCAACTCAGTGGTAATTAAAAAGTTGCCTTGTGGCTTCTGTAAAATAAATGGATCATCTTAAGCTCCCTCCATATGAAGCCTGCACATTCTAACAAACCAGAAATGGATGTAGATAAATGAGTGCAACTGGGCAGCAGGGAGACACACTGGCTCAGACAGTCCTGGGTGAATTTAGCTTAACACTGGCTCAGAGTTGTTCTCTGGGCACCTTAGTCTGTACCCACAAACTTGGCCAGCATGTTTCAGGTGGGGACAAAACTAAGACAGAATGACATATGGGACTATGAACATGAGGACACTCAGTTGGGAAGGCTCAACCTCTGCTCCACCAGCCACACGCAGACTGGAAGAGCTCAAGAGCTCAGTTGCAAGAGTGGTGAGTCCCACATCTCAGTGGCTGCAATTCCCATGGTTTTCAGATTCATAAAAGCTAAATCTTGCAGCATGTAATCCTGGGACACCTACCCCCCTAAACAGACCCAACCTCCCTCCATGCCTTCCCTCCCCTCCTGTTTTGGTCTCTGCAGGTTTCACACAACTGTAATAATTTTGGAATGGATTCACAACAAATAGTTAAAATGTGCACAGTTCCCACACAACCAGTTTTTACATCAGGATAAAGCTGCTGAGGGCTGTGAGACTATGCTACCAAATGTTGCAACATCTTTCCCTTTGTCCTACGGACGTCCCCAGGCATCTGCCAAGAGCCATTGTAGGACACAAAATAGGGCACTAGATGGATCTGCTGCCTGATCAGCTCTGCATCCCTCATATCAGAAGGTCACGGTTGTAACACACAAGTACTAACACCTTGTTTGAATGGGATGGAGATGTCATGCAAACAGCTGTCTGCTCCTGCCTCTCTGCAGCTACCTACTGCTTTAGTGTCACAAAGGCTGTGGAAACTTCCCATTTGCTCCAGTGCAAGGTCAGGCTGGGTTAACTTAAACCACCAGTGGAGATGGCAGTGGAGGGTAAGGTGCAGGTGGCCAGGGTGGTGTGTTCAATCATTC